TACATATACAATTACGTATACATATACATAAACCAGTGCATGTACACGTACATATAGGTACACATACAGATACAACTATACATATGCCTATACATGTGTATGTGTATATATATATATATATGAAAATATGGCGCTGTGGATGCCGTGCCAATGGACACTCTGACACTTACATCGCTGAACTGAAACGTGTTAATCAAACGTGTGTTGAATTGTTCGGTTATGTCTCAAGTAAACCAGTTGTTTACGCTGTCTCAATACGTTTGACACATGCTTAAAACATATCGAAACGATTTGGCAACATGACCCCTCTCCATTGACCGTCTTCCACAAACATAGCCCTTCTCGATGCGATGGACGGCCTGGCGTTCGCCGGACAGCAACGAAAGGATTGGACGGGGGATCGGCGCGGACTCTGCTGCACGCAGCTGGCTTCGGCCACGGGCGCCCTCCACGATACACGGGCGCCTCCAACTGGCCAACGCTCGGACGTCCATTTCCTGTGTTTTTTCGCGAAATGATCAAGGATGCTCCTCGATGGTCCTCGCCGAAGGAAAAATACACACGTCCGAGCGATGCCAAGCCAACGCCAGGAGGCGCCGCTGGGAAACCCAGCTGCGCCAGCTGATTCGCTGCCCCCCTCCCCCTTCTCTGGCGGCGAGCCCCGGTGAGAAGGCGGAGGGGGCGGGCCTTCCCAGGAGGCCCCAAGAGGCGCCAGGGGGGACGTCAGGGGGGGGAGCAAGTCAGAGGGTGGGACACATCGAGCTGGAATCGGCGAGACATTCGCCGATAGATCGGTGAGTGGCCCCCGATCGATTCTGGGTCGTCTGCGGCGTTCAAAGTTGAACGCCGCTGGCGGGGTCGCCGCCTGTCGACACAACACGAACCTACCGTACAACATCCAAGAACTCCCGAACACGCCCAACCCAGCGACGGGGGGGGGCCCATACATGACCCTCCCCCTCCTGGCTCGCTCGCTCTCGGCCGAAGCGTCGTGCACACGCGGCCACCTTTCCTGCCCCCACCCCACGGCGTAACCCGGTGGGGCGGGGGGGGGGGCTCGTTAGGGAGAGTGTGAGAAGACTGTAAGTAGGGGCGCAGAGATAGACCGAAAATGTGGGGCTTGACCCCAGCAGAGGAGCAAGAGAAAGGAGGAGAGGAGGCACCATCATAGTAACAACCGGGGGGGAGGAAGAAGAGGTGGACCCTCCCCTGGGGAAATCAAAAGGTACCGATACCGCAACTCCCGGGACCTCTCCTGGGGTGCGTTCTGACCAGGATCTCGAGGCGAATCCAGAGATGGGCGACGAAGGCCTCCCAGTAAATTAACAAAAATGGGAAAACGGGCGAGGGGGTGGGGGTATGGGTACCTTTTCCTCCTCTGACTCCTGGTCCCCCTCCATCCTCCCCCCCCTGCTCCCTGCTCCGTTCCCTCCCCCTCGCCCTCCCCCACCGTCTCCTCCTCGTGTTACGCCGTCCTCCTCCTCCTCCTCCTCCTCATCCTCCTCCTCCTCCTCCTCCTCCTCCTCCTCCTCCTCCTCCTCCTCCACGCATCGCCCTGACAGTCGGCGCGCGCGCCCGGGCTCGTGAGGCGCGGGAGAGCGGCGCGGCAGAGGGGGCAGGCGGCGGAGAAGCGAGAGGGGGGGCCTCTAATGCGGGCCATGGCGTGGCCCCCTCGGGGCCACGGGGGATGGGCCTGGTTTCCACCACCACCGCCATAAGTTGGAGAGGGAAGGGATCCTCCTCCTCCTCCTCCTCCTCCTCCTCCTCCGCCTCCTCCTCCTGCTTCTCCTCCTCCTCCTCCTCCTGCTTCTCCTTCTCCTCCTCCTCCTCCTTTTGTTTCCTCCTCCTCTTCGTCCTCCTATTCATCGTCCTACTCCTGCTCCTCCTCCACCTCCTCCTCCCTCCCACTCATGGTGGTGGTGGCGGAAAACAAGCTTCTCAGGGATGGCCCCTCTTGGCGCTCCCTCGGCCGTGGGCGAACCTCCTTTTAGTAAGCCACCCTCGGGTCGGGCGAAAGGGGGGGATAGCAAAGGGGGGGTTTGAGAATCAGCTCACGTCGCTGATTTTCCCGGCGCCTCCCGGCGCTGGAAGCGGCCATGTATCGAGGAATGGGCCCCTCGGTGAGGCCGAAACCAGCTGCATGCAGCAGATTTCGTAACCCCCCCTTTCCCAATCCCCCCCTTTCGCCCGGCCCGACACCCTTTAGTGAAAACGGCCTGGGACCAAAGTCGACGGGCCCGGACCCGCAAAAGCGACGGCCACGACGCCCTCTCGCGAACCAAGAACGGCCAACACACTAATCGACGTGTCAGGGTAGGAGGTCGATCAGTCTCCGACACCCTTGGGGCCCCAGCGGGGCTATCTCGGGGCCCCTTTCCGAGGACGTCGGGACATTTATAGAAGGCCCGGGGGCCGTACGCCGTACGCAGGCACAGCGGACCCATCGCGGGGCGAGGTTGTGCAGTAGTTGTGACTGTGTGTTGTTGCTGGCGGGCGTCGCAAAAAAAATGGAAAGACGCACGCGCCGTTCCCTGAGTATTGTTTTAGTCATGTTGCAATTTCCTCCTGTAGAAGGACACGCCCGACTTAATTCGCGTTGCCTTGCCGCGCCGTCACACAACGAGGGCGCCCGCGACGCCCGAGGGCACGGCGCGGAGCCGTCAGGAACCATACGATTATGCCTGGGAGCTGCCCGTGGCCCTTGCTGCATCGCCTGGCCGCCCCGGCGCGGCCCACTGTCCAAGCTCACGCTACTCTGGCTCCTCCTCGCCCTTGCAACCCCTTGTGGGAGCTGGAGCAGCAGAACCTGATCTTCTGGGGGGGGGGGGGGGCGCGACGGCTCCAGGCAGTGCACGCACTAGCGGCAACGGGCGCCGCAACCGTGAACGTTGTTGCCCGGTGCGGGAGGCTCGCCAGAGGGCGGCAAGCCCGAAGGGGGCGGCAGCTCCGAGGGGCAACCCTTAAATCGGGCGTGTCCCCCTACAGGGGGATTGTCGACGAAAAATAAAACATGTCCCAAAAATACACCAAAGAAGGTCAAACAAATACTCAAAAGAAAGTCCCCAGACTATTATTGGACTATTTTTGGACTATTTCTGGGGTATTCTTGATTTTTCGTCGAGAAGCCCCCTGTGGGGGGACAGGCCCGCCTTAAGGCGACTCCTCTGGGCCGTCCTGCAGCAGTGCACGCGGGCACGGCATGGCTCCGGGCGGAGCCGGCCCGGATGGGCCGCCCCAGCCTGGGGTGGGGCCCTGCGCCTCGGGCCTCCTGGGTGCGGCTGGGGAGGGCAGCCAGGCGTCGGTCCCCTGCTGCGCCTCCTGCTGTCGCGCTGCGGCCGCAACAGCCGTCACCGTTGCCTCCGTCTGGCCCTCCTCTGCCTCCGTCTTCGCCGCCTGCAGCAGTGCAGCTGCTTCTCGCCGGAGCAGCCGCGCACCCATGGCAGCGGGCGGAGGTCGTTGCATCCCGCTCGGCAATCCATGGGGCAGGGCGAGACGGACGTGGTCTTAGGTCGGGCATGTCATCCCACAGGCGAATTTTGAACGAAAACCCAAAAAAATAACCTGCCGAAGGACCCGACCATCACGCAGCTGCGAGTGCCGCGAAGGAAATGAGATGAAGGAGGGGGGCTCGCAAACTCCGAGTAGCGCACGCGGTATAGCCTTCTGCCACGAAGCGTGTGAAAGGTGTGCCGACAGGAGTCAGGAGGACTCCTGCGA